CTTGATCTTAAATTATTGATGAGATTGTTTTGTCATGTTTGTAAAGTCACACGTATGTTTTGACTACCTGACTATGGATAATGACTCTTATTATTAGTATTATTATTATCGTTAATTCAACCATGAACTCCTTGGCTGCACTTTGTATATTGGCAGCTGGTTTTGCGTTGTGTGTTTTCTTTTTAAACATTTGTCGCATTGTTTTGAGTTGGTCCTTAACAAAATCTTTACTTCCGGTGTCCCCAGTCCTCCAAACGACGAACGACTCAGTATCGATCGTGGTAACCTTCTTCCCCCAAGACATTAAAAAATTGAAAATAGACTGAACCATGGGTCAAATTTTAAAATAATCATTCTATAAGGGCCTTTCAGAGGGCGTGCATATCTTCAATCTCCTGAGTAATTACCGGGGTATACTTAATATCAATAGTAACCTTCACAGAATCTCCTACCTCGCCAAACCCTCCTTCCCCAAGTTTTTGAACCTTCACCAGGTACTTAAAATCACGATCATCAACACTCCAAAGACTTTCTACTCGACGAATTTTGTCAGGATACATGGACGTGTTCTCGCCTTTTCTTTTTCTACACATCTTTGCAAAAAGCAACATGAAAAAAAAACTGATTTTATTTGTTCAATGCGTAGAATTGTGGTACGGGTGAAGTGAGTTTTGCAAAGGAATGTTCGGCATCCATGATCGAAGCCCCAACATTTAATACTGATAAATGTATCCGATATTACAGAAAATCAACCAATCAAAAGGCTCGCTAAATCATCTCTTCTAGACTAAGAAAAAAAATTAAGTTAAGAAAAGTACACGAAATTGTCCACTTCAACTACCAATGCCAAGTTCAAATCTCGCTAGATTATATAACACGCGAGCCGCACGTGAATACGAAATATATATTAAGGGGGGAGACGAAGATTGTAGTTTGAAATATTCTAATTTAAGATCATTTCAACATTGTGCACGATTTGCGTTCTTTGCTTATAGGCATCATCATAAAAGGTTACACATGGACCACAGATAAAATAAGAAAAATTTAAAACACTAATGCTAAAGATCATCACCCTTCGTTTGGTTCGGTGTTCCCTCCAAGCTTTCTGCAACAATCCAACTGCTCTGATCTGTCAAAAGAAAAGCAGCAGTCATATACTGATGAATTTAAATTCTGAACCCAATTCTCTGATAAGATCATGGTGTCGAAAGGGAACAAATAATGCCTCTTAAAAAAAGCTATTCTTCTTGGATCAAATCTAGATAATAACTAAATTAAAATCGCCCGATTAAGTTAAACGATCAAATTTGTGAACTAACTCTGTACCTATTGCCATTACTATCTCATACCTTGAGTTTGAGCTCTTCTCGTTTTTTTATTTTAAGTTTACGGCGGCGAAACGCCTTTTGGATTCTCTCGGCGCATTTATTCTGCAAAGACAACAACAATTTTGATAACATCAGCATACACATATCAGCATCTTAAAGTCGTTACGCCATGTTGAAGAATAAAGGTTTACTTTCTACGACACGTCTCTTCTGCAGTCACCCACCCACAACGGTCACCTCCGTACACTGGCTGCCTTCCTAAAGGTGACCACCTTTTTAGAAGGGCCACCTCTTTACACAGGACATCGGCCTCCTTCTTACAATGGCCACATCCTCACAATGGCACAGCAACTATAGCGCGTCCTAAATGCATTGAAATTCTTCTCTCGCAAAGGGCCAAGGAACGCTAGAAAAACTGATTTAGCTTCTGTACGTTGCTTGTTTAGTCTCTGTTCGGATGCTTTACAAAAGCATCAGTATTGCTTAGGGTTAGGGTGGTGAATGTGGTGATATTCCACCATAAGCACTTTTGAAGAATTAAAAGTTGAACTAAGCCCTGTGGACATGGAGTGAAATATGTGACTCCCAATTTGAGGCAAGTGCGAATTCACCGTATACTACTCAAAAGAATTGTTGATGTTAACTTGTGAAATCTCTTCCTTTTTAAATCCTATTTATTTTTAATCCTACTCTTTTATGTATAACTGAAATTGCACGATAACCGTATACGACTTAATTCACCAGGTAACTCTATATCAAAGTACCTTAAATTCAAGTTTGCATTTGAATCTGTGCCAAGCCTGCTGAATTATGGAGGCGCTTTCATTCTGCAGATATAAAAAGCATCATGATATCAACAAATGATATCAGCATCTAAAAGAATTAACCTTATTTTGAAGACGTAATAAAGGTCTAAATTCTGTAAAACTTCTATGCTAAGGCCTCTACCCTACGGAGGTTAGCCGCTTTAAATGGCAGCCTCCCTTAAAAAGGCTACCTCCGTACAACGGCCACTTTTTTACTCTGACTACCTCTCTACAACGACCACATCCTCTGCAATCAGTTACGTTTACACAACATTATAAAGAAATCAGAGTACCTGTCTTTGCAGCTCTCTATCTTTTTGGCGGGCGTCTTTTTCAATACTAAAAAAATTGTCACAATGTTACAATGGCGATCACCAATAATACTTTATTGTAACTCAAGTTTGGCAAAAATACATCCTTGTTCTTTCCGTTTATTGGATGCACTAGCCATTCAATACCTTAAGTTGGCTACAACACTCGTTTGACCTTGAACTTTTAAATATTTATTTTAACATCTGGTAGCAAGGGAAACAATTTAACAGTTTGATAAAGCAAGCCGCACAATCGATTCGTAAAAGTTTTCCGTTCTTTTCCTAAAAACCCGAAACTTTTATCGTTATTGGACTAAATGATAAAAGAGTTACCTTTCTTCGCATTTGTTCTCTGTAGTTGGCCATAAATATTCCGCAATACTCGCAAAGGTAAACAAACTAATCCAGTGGGTAACGAAAACCATCTTGGCATCTAGTTTTTTTTTTTCGCGACACTGATTTATAATTGGGTTGCGTCATAAAAGCACCTTTCATCTTTTAAGCGCGCGCTAGAAACAGAAATGAATAAACGAACGCGTGAATGTTTGTCCGCTGAGCTCAAAAACCTGGAATATTCCAGTGGGGCTCCTAGGAAAACAAAAATCAGCGTTGAGTGGAAGTTTTGGTCAAACATTCTGAACATTTACCTCCCACGAAAGAAATCCTCTTTCCCTATCGTGATACTCATCTATTGTAAAATTCTAAGCCTCGTTTTAGTAAATTCAGGCTTTTGTCCCCATTTTTCATTCATTGGAATTTGGAAATGGTTGCAATAAACTTAGTTTTAAAGATAAATATCTGACCGATTTATTGGCTCATCTTAAAATAAAGAAATCCCAGGTCCCTCAAAGCATTAAATTTTAACTTTTAGATGAAGATTTCAAGAACCATTGATGATCTTATTTGTAAGGTGTTTACCGGTCACTAAGAGACATTTGAATGCCTCCATTGGATTATACGTTTAATAATTTAGTTAAAACAACCAAAGAGATGCACTCCGTACATGTTATTCATGAAAGATTGGTGGAAGTTGCAAAGAGAAAGAGTTCTTTATATTTGGTCTAGCTATGTGCACCCACTCTGAAAAAAAAAAGGATCACTTCAAACTCTAAGAGTGACCAGCATCTAATTTTTCGCCAGACAAACCATACATAGGCTCTGAGATTAAAGGGGATGATTGCCAACTAAGGAAGCTCTTGATTCTTCCATAATATTCTCTATATCAGTAATGTAAAGAGATCAGTATGAAAAATATGCCATTGATTTTTATGTGTAACGGGTTAACATGCCTCCTGAAGGCTTTTAAGATCATTTACAATAGTTTACAATCGGCAATGAAACAATTTCACTTCAGGACATTGGTCTTAACTCCTAAGAAACAGAGATTTTTGAGAAAAAAAGGACATGCTTTTATTTTACCTGCTGTTAAAACAGCTTGCTTTAAAAGATTCTTTATTAATAGGTGTCTTTTTAATTTTATTTAATTGTGCTTGATCTTAAATTATTGATGAGATTGTTTTGTCATGTTTGTAAAGTCACACGTATGTTTTGACTACCTGACTATGGATAATGACTCTTATTATTAGTATTATTATTATCGTTAATTCAACCATGAACTCCTTGGCTGCACTTTGTATATTGGCAGCTGGTTTTGCGTTGTGTGTTTTCTTTTTAAACATTTGTCGCATTGTTTTGAGTTGGTCCTTAACAAAATCTTTACTTCCGGTGTCCCCAGTCCTCCAAACGACGAACGACTCAGTATCGATCGTGGTAACCTTCTTCCCCCAAGACATTAAAAAATTGAAAATTGACTGAGCCATGAGTCAAATTTGAAAATAATCATTCTATAAAGGTCTATCAGAGGGCGTGCATATCTTCAATCTCCTGAGTAATTACCGGAGTATATTTAATATCAATATTAACCTTCACAGAATCTCTTATCTCGCCAAACCCTCCTTCCCCAAGTTTTTGAATTCTTACCAGGTACTTAAAATCATGATCATCGACACTCCAAAGACTTTCTACTCGACGAATTTTGTTAGGATACATGGACGTCTTGTCACCTTTTCTTTTTCTAAACATCTTTGCAAAGAGCAACATGAAAAAAAAAAAAACATTGATTTTATTTGTTCAATGCGTAGAATTGTGATACGGGCAGCGCAAGTTTTGCAAAGGAATGCTCGGCATCCGTAACTGGAGCCCCAACAATTCAAAGTGATAAATGTATCCGACATTACAGAAAATCAACCAATCAGAAGGCTTGCTAAAGCATCTTTTTTAGACTGAGAGAAAAAAAAACTAAGAGTTCACGAAATTGACCACGTCAACTACCAATGCCAAGTTCAAATCTCGCTAGATTATATAACACGCGAGCCGCACGTGAATACGAAATATGTATTAAGGGGGGAGGAGAAGATTGTAGTTTGAAATATTCTAATTTAAGATCATTTCAACATTGTACACGATTTACGTTCTATACTTATAGGCATTATCATAAAAGGTTAAACATAGGCTACAGATAAAAATAAGAAAGATTCAAAACACTAGGGCTAAAAAATCATTACCCTTCGTTTGGTTCGGTGTTCTGTCCAAGCTTTCTGCAACAATCCAACTGCTCTGATCTGTCATGCAGGAGAAAAGCAGCAATCATATACTGATGAAGTTGAATTGTGAACCCATTTCCCTGATAAGGTCATGGAGTCGATAGGGAACAAATAATGCCTTTTACCGGAGAAAGAACCTTTTTTGACGTATCAGATCTAGATTATAACTAAAATCACCCGATAACGTTAAATGATCAAATTTGCCAACTAACTCTGAACTTATCACCGCTACAATCTCATACCTTGAGTTTGAACTCTTTTCGTTTTTCTATTTTGAGTTTACGGCGGCGAAACGCATTTTGGATCCTCTCGGCGCATTTATTCTGCAAAGACAACAACAACTTTGATAACATCAGCATACACATATTAGCATCTTAAAGTCGTCACGCCATGTTGAAGTACATGATTAAGGTGTACTTTCTAGGAAAAGTCTCTTCTTCCGTCACACGCCCACAACCACCTCCGTACACTGGCTGCCTTCCTAAAAGTGACCACCTTTTTCAGAAGGGCCCCCCTTCTACACAGGACACCTTGCCAAATCGGCCTCCTTCTTGCAATGGCTATATCCTCACAATGGCACAGCAACTAAAGCGCGTCCTAAATGCATTGAAACTCCTCTTTCGCCAAGGGCCAAGGAACGCTAGAAAAACTTATTTAACTTATGTACCTCGCTTGTTTAGTCTCGGTTAGGATGCTTTACAAAAGCATCACTGTTGCTAACGATTAGGGCGGTGAATGTAATGATATTCCAACAATCTTTAACAATCTTTATCTTTTTTGCACTATTTACAAAATAATTATTTCTACATTAAAGTACACAAGAAGGAGAGACATAGGCAAACTAAATTACACAACTAGTGAAAACTAAAATGTGCGCAGTGACCAAAGTAGCTTAAGCTTTCGAGTTGGTCACTGCCACAGACAATTAATTGGCATGAACATGTACATTATAGGCATTTACATAACAGTAAAAAACAAAAGCAAACTAGACTCAAGAAAAAAGTTTGAGTACTTATAAGATACATTTTGTATTGCTTGTATAAACAATTATAAGAGAGTTTTTTTAATTCACAGGTGATAGATTCCCAGATAATTGAAGGTACAAAAGCAAACGTAGTAGCACCATAATTATTACATGCTCTTGGTCTGTAAATATTGAAATTAGTCGCAAATCTGGTATTGTGGGTATGAACCTCAGAAGCTAGTTTAAGAGTTCCAGAAAATATTGTTGGGATGTTTGTGGGGTCGTTTTTAATTTTATGTATAAAGAGAGCTAATTTAAATTTATAAATGTTTTGGAATGTGAGGATTTGGAAAAGATTGACATAGGGCATAGCTTTACCTCTGCTATGAGCAAAGGGTATGCTGCGTACACATTTATTGTTTCGTTTTGAGCTTCTGTAATCTAGTTTTACTGGCACTATCCCAGCTTTTTATACCATAAGTTAGATACGGATAAATGAAAGAATAATACAAATGTTTTAGAGTGTGAACATCTACATAATAGCGTATTTTATTAATAATTCCTACATTTTTCCTTGATTTATTGTTGATATGCTGGATTTGGTGTCCCCAATGTAAATTTTGATCAATGAATACACCTACTTATTTGACATTTACGCTCAATTTTGTGTATATGTATATGTCCACCTATTGTTGAGGATGAGATTACCATAGAGTTAGGTTAGTGGATAGTTTCTTAGCGTTACAATACTGAAAAACTAATTTCAATTCCTCATTCATAACAGATTCAAGGTGTTTTAAGTTAGCACTTGTATAAGAAATATTTGTATCATCAGCAAAGATTCTGAAGGAAAGCTTAACAGAGCAGTTAGGCAAGTCATTAATATATAACAGAAATAATAGTGGACCAAAGGTTGATCCTTGTGGTATTCCACAAGTAATAGTTTCACAGTTGGATTTGGTATTACGAATCTTGACAAATTGAGTCCGATCATTTAGATAGTTTTCAAACCATTTAAAAGGAATTCCACGTATTCCATAATGGTAAAGTTTAGACAGAAGAATGTTATGGTTTCCGGTGTCAAATGCTTTGGAAAAATCAAGAATAAGACCACAGGTGACTAGTTTTTTCTCCATGGCCTTCTTAAGTGTGTCAGTGAGTTCTAGAATAGCCTGCTCAGTTGAATATCCTTTCCTAAATCCAAACTGATATTTATACATAATTTTATGCTTTTCTAAGAAACTGTCAAGATGATTATAGATTATCCTTTCAAACACTTTACTAAAAGGCAAGAGAGTTGAAATAGGCCTGTAGTTACCTGGGTCAGTGACATCACCATTTTTGTAAACTGGGGTGACCTGAGAAATTTTCAGAATATTAGGAACTATTCCAGTTTCAACTGACTGATTATAAATTTTTGTAAAAGGTACAGATAGCGGCTCAGAAGCTAGATTGATGGTCATGGAATCGATAGGGAACAAATAAGCACTTTTGAAGAATTAGAAGTTGAACTAAGTCCGGTGGACATGGAGTGAAATATGCGACTCCCATCTTGAGGCGAGGGCGAATTCACCGTATACTCAAAACAATCGTTGATGTTAACCTGTGAAACCCCTTTCCTTTTAAATGCTATTTGTTAATAATCCTACTCTTTTTTGTATAACTGAAATTGCACGATAAACCTAAACGACTTAATTCACCATATAACTCTACAGCAAAGTACCTTCAATTCAAGTTTGGATTTGAATCTGCGCCAAGCGCGCTGAATTATGGACGCGCTTTCATTCTGCAGATACAAAAAGCATCATGATATCAACAATTGATATCAGCATCTAAAAGAATTAACGTTATTTTGAAGAACGTATTAAAGGCCTAAATTCTGTAGAGCTTCTATGCTAAGGCCTCTACCTTACGAAGGTTACCATGAAATTCCATATCAAAGTACCTCGAATTTAAGTTCTTCTCTTTTGCGCCTTAGCTTAATTCAGCGTGCGTGGCGCAGATTTATATCCAAACTGAGTTTGGATATGAATCTGCACCATGCCCGCTGAATTATGGACGCACTTTCAATCTACAGAGACAAAAAGCATTATGATAATAATGATAATAATAATAATAATACCAATAGTCTATTCAATCAAAGGATAAAAAATACATATCCTAAGTTACAATGAAAAAGTATTAAATGATACACGATAACAAACAATAATAGTATAAGATAGAATAATACTACACTAGATTATATTTTAAAATAAGTCTATTCACAAAAGTTTTCTTGAATCTCTCCGTTTTTATCTGAGGAAGGTGACACCTTGTACGCAAAATATATACTAATTCTTTTTCTTTGGGAATGATCGCACTTAGCGTATGATTATCAATAGCTCTTTTGAAAACGGATTTATCTTGCTGTTCTAAAAGATTAAAAATGCTGAATGTTTGAGTGGTAAAATGACGCTCATGGCACCTGTCCAAAAAATGTTGTATAACATTTAAATCAGAGTCAGAAGCGCCATACACAGCGAGACCATAAGTGAGAATGAGAAGACCTAGGGTCTTAAATAAGTGATCAATTTCCTTCTGGCTGAAGAGTTCTTTTCGTAGAGTTCTGAAAATGTGAAGACACTTGTTAGTTTTTGTGAGCTTACGTCTAACATGCTCGCTGAATTTACAATTAGGCTGATAAATCAGACCGAGCAATACAAGGCTATCGCATTGAGGAATGTTGTTGATGGCAGCGTACTGATGGCGTGTGCCGCTACTTTCCTTCTTTCTAAACTTCAGTTCTTTACACCTCAGTACTCGGATTACACAGCATCTGATTATTTATACTCCAACTGAGAAACTGATTTACCAGGTCTGTTGACGTGTCTAAATCCTTCCATACGGGGGCTACAATAGTTGCAATAGTATCAACAATTGATATCACCATCTTAAAGACCTTATTTTGAAGAACGTAATAAATGTTTAAGTTCTGTAGAACTTCTGTGCTAAGGCCTCTACTCTACGGAGGTTAGCCGCTTTAAAGGGCAGCCTCCCTTAAAAAGGCTACCTCCGTACAACTTCAATGCTAAGGCCTCTACCTTACGAAGGTTACCATGTAACTCTAAATCAAAGTACCTTGAATTCAAATTCTTCTCTTTTGAGCATTAGCTTAATTCAGTGCGTGTGGCGCAGATTCAAATCCAAACTGAGTTTGGATTTAAATCTGCGCTACGCCAGCTGAATTATGGACGCGCTTTCATTCTGCAAAGACCAAAAGCATTATGATATCAACAATTGATATCACCACCTTAAAGACCTTATTTTGAAGAACGTATTAAAGGTCTAAATTATGTAGAACTTTTATGCTAAGACCTCTACCTTACGAAGGTTACCATGTAACTCTNAGCCTCTCTTTTGCGCATTAGCTTAATTCAGTGCGTGTGGCGCAGATTCAAATCCAAACTGAGTTTGGATTTAAATCTGCGCCACGCCAGCTGAATTATGGACGCGCTTTCATTCTGCAAAGACCAAAAGCATTATGATATCAACAATTGATATCACCACCTTAAAGACCTTATTTTGAAGAATGTATTAAAGGTCTAAATTATGTAGAACTTTTATGCTAAGACCTCTACCTTACGAAGGTTACATGTAACTCTGTATTAAAGTACCTTGAATTCAACTTCCTCTCTTTTGCGCATTAGCTTAATTCAGGGCGTGTGGCGCAGTTTCAAATCCAAACTGAGTTTGGATTTAAATCTGCGCCACGCCCGCTGAATTATGGACGCGCTTTCATTCTGCAGAGACAAAAAGCATTATGATATCAACAATTGATATCACCACCTTAAAGACCTTATTTTGAAGAATGTATTAAAGGTCTAAATTCTGTTGACCCTCTATGCTAAGGCCTCTACCCTACGGAAGTTAGCTGCTTTAAACGGCAGCCTCCCTTAAAAAGGCTACCCCGTACAACGGCCACTTTCTTACTGTGACTACCTCTCTACAACGACTTCCTCCTCCGCAATTACCTACATTTACACAACATTATAAAGAAATCAGAGTACCTGTTTTTGCAGCTCTCCATCTTTTTGGCGGGCGTCGTTTTCAATGCTAAAAAAAATGCCACAATGTTACCTTGGCGATCACCAATAACACTTTCTTGTAACTCGTGTTTGGCAAAAATATATCCTCGTTCTTTCCGTTTATTGAGTGCACTAGACGCAATACCATAAGCTTGGCTAAACCACGTTTTGTACCTTAAACTTATGAATATTTACATTAACGTCTGACAGCAAGGGAAACAATTTAACAGCTTGATAAAGCAAGCCGCACGATCGGTTCGTAAAAGTTTTCCGTTCTTTACCTAATAACCAGAAACTTTTATTGAAATTGGACTAAATGATGAAAGACTTACCTTTCTTTGTATTTGTTCTCTTCTGTAGTTAGCCACAGTTGATTTTAACTCCTATTCAGCGAGTCAAAACGGATATTGTCGTAAAGAAAGTTTTGATCAGCAAATGTTTTTGGAGATACAAAGCATTGTAGTTGGGGAATGAACCCTAACCTGCGAAACCTGAAAAGGACTGAACTGTTAAGTCTCTTCCACCTTGCATCATAACTACAAAACAAAAAAATGTCTTAGAATAGCCTAGTGTTTCGCGCTACAGCATTTCTCACCTTTGCTTGTCAGGTATCGAGAAACGAGATTGGAATGGACGAGAGCAAACACATACAAAAGTTTCCACGTCAAAGCTTACTGAGAGAGAGCTTTGAAACTCAATTCAAAAATAGAGAGTACGAGATCAAAGCCTGCTGGTCTTACAATTGAAAGGAAGTCAAATTTTTATCCACATTCCCCGTTGAATGATTTCCAACCTATCTCACTGTCCATTTGATGTACTCCGTTTTGTAACCCTTTTAAAAGTCACGTAAAGCCTAGAAGGCAATCTCTAGCCTCAGTCCCCACCCAATTGAAGATAATAGGAATTACATAGACGATGTTTTGCAAAACATCGTTTATACAATGCCTGTCATCTTCAATTTTCCACAATATTGTCACGGTGTCGAACATCAAATTTCCTTTCGAATCCCTTGGTGAATAATTTCCAACCCCTCTCAATGTCTATCTGATGTACTCCCTTTTCTAACCTTTGAGACACCTGTAGCCTAAAATAGATCCCTTTTCTGATGAAACCTTCCCTTACTATCAGATACAATGAATATATGAAGCTCATATATTTTGAACTGCGGTATTAGATACGTATGATGCACGATCCTCGCAGTAGATAGCGCTATTTATGCAATAGCGAAAATCAGACCTGAAAAAATCGGGCCTGTACGGGACTCGAACCACTGACCTCTGCGATACTAGTGCAGCGCTCTACCAATTGAGCTAACAAGCCAACTGGGAGCAGGCCGTTAAGTTGATTCGTAATAAACCCGTGAAAGTGATAAATCAGATACAATGAATATATGAAGCTCATATATTTTGAACTGCGGTATTAGATACGTATGATGCACGATCCTCGCAGTAGATAGCGCTATTTATGCAATAGCGAAAATCAGACCTGAAAAAAATCAGGCCTGTACGGGACTCGAACCACTGACCTCTGCGATACTAGTGCAGCGCTCTACCAATTGAGCTAACAAGCCAACTGGGAGCAGGCCGTTAAGTTGATTCGTAATAAACCCGTGAAAGTGATAAATCAGATACAATGAATATATGAAGCTCATATATTTTGAACTGCGGTATTAGATACGTATGATGCACGATCCTCGCAGTAGATAGCGCTATTTATGCAATAGCGAAAATCAGACCTGAAAAAAATCAGGCCTGTACGGGACTCGAACCACTGACCTCTGCGATACTAGTGCAGCGCTCTACCAATTGAGCTAACAAGCCAACTGGGAGCAGGCCGTTAAGTTGATTCGTAATAAACCCGTGAAAGTGATAAATCAGATACAATGAATATATGAAG